CTGCAAATAAGATATCCATTTTGACAACTTACAATGGACAAAAGCTTCTAATTCGTGATGTTATTAATAGACGATGTGTGCCATATGACTTCATTGGTCCTCCTTGTAAGGTATGGAATTTCATATGCTATAGTGATTGAGTAGATCGTAGACTCGGGAGCAGATTTTATTGTTGATAAAAAGTGTTGAGAGAATTTCAGTGACCGACAGAGTCCGTGTTGTAGTAATTTTATGCCTTTAGAGTAGATCGTAGACTCGGGAGCAGATTTTATTGTTGATAAAAAGTGTTGAAAGAATTTCAGTGACCGACAGAGTCCGTTTTGTAGTAATTTTATGCCTTTATGTCCTAGCAGCAGTTTTAGACTTATTCTTTATATATATACGTGTTGTTTTGGGATCCCGTTATCCCATATCTGAAATGCTGCTTTTGTTGTCTTTCAGGTTACTACAGTTGATAAATTTCAAGGTCAGCAGAATGATTTTATACTGCTGTCACTTGTGCGTACTCGGTTTGTTGGTCACCTTCGTGATGTTAGGAGATTGGTTGTTGCCATGTCTCGTGCTCGACTTGGTCTGTATGTGTTTTGTCGGCGCTCTTTGTTTGAGCAATGCTATGAGCTTCAGCCTACGTTTCAACTTCTCCTTCAGAGGCCCGATCGCCTTGCTCTGAATTTAACCGAGGTTGCGTCATACACAGAACGTCCTGTGGAAGACACTGGTCTCATTCATCTTGTCAGTGGTGTTGATGAGATGATGAGCATCTACCAGGAGCTCTATGAGGTATGCCACTTATTATTAGCCTTTTATTTTTTGTATGCCACTTATTATTAGCCTTTTATTTTTTGATAAAGCTCTGATAATTAGTTTTATTAGGTGTGACAGTTGAACAGTGACATCAACTGAAAAACAACAATAAAAGGTAAAAAAAAAAGCAACGCTTACTGAGTGAATAACACGAAACTTTAAAGCAACACCTACCCGGGAAACACAATGACTGAAAACCGACATCAGCCAAAAAATAACACTAAATTGAAACAATGAAATTAAAGTGTTAAAATAACCATATTTACTAAAGAAAACGTCAAAGAAATTAACTGAAAAGCCAACAATAAGCGGATGCAGCGTCGTTAAATAAGAAATGACAATAACATAAGAAAAGATGGTGAAACTAACAAATGATATGAGCATCGTTAAATAAGGATTGACACTAGAAATTTGTCACTTTAGTCTGTTGTTTTAATAGTGTCTTAAACCAAGTAGGTAAGGTTAATATGAGTTGTGCTCTGCTGTTTGTACGGTTTCTAAGCAAAACGTACCTACCTTTTTATTTGCATGTAGGCAAAGCGCCTTCAAGAATAATTTGCTTCACCGTGCTCGGTAGGAGTTGTTTGTTTGTCCACAACTGTTCTTATTCAAGGGCGGGGTTCGACGTTTCAGAGAGTTGAGAGCAATTGAGAGGAAGCCATTCAAAGTAGCAAAAGGCAC